TTCTAGGGGTCTGCTAGTTTCACCGATGTAACATCTGCCGCAGTCGCAAGGGATGCTATACACACACTGCTTCGTTTTCTGGGCATCTCTACTGGGTCCAGTTTTCATTAATGTCCCCCGGAGTGTATGTTTCGTTTTGAAGATTGTTCTAAGCTGAAAACGATTCCCGATGCGTCTGAATTTCTCGGCGATACCCTTGACATACGGAATGATTACAGTGCCTCGGTATGTTGTGTCTGAAGAGGGACGATTTCTTGTCGATGGCTTCAATACAGAGTCCACGAATTCTTTAGGATATTCACTGAGCATTAGATCATGTCTTATGTTTCTGATTTCTTTACTAAAATCCTTCTTGTTTTGACATATGACCTTCGCTCTGTTGATCAAACTATGAACAACTCCCCTTTTTACGTGGTGTGGGTGATTGGATTTGAAGTGAAGATAACGACCAGTATGAGTAGGCTTTCGGTACACTTTGGTGGTCAGTTTTGGACCCTGCTTCATAACCAAAACATCCAAGAATGGAAGTGCATTGTTGACTTCAACTTCCATAGTGAATTTGATGGTAGGCCTGATGTTGTTAATATGTTGAAGAAATTTCTGTAGCTCTTCCGGTCCATATGGCCATATCACAAACGTGTCGTCGACATATCTCAGCCATTTTGCAGGCTTGTATTCAGCTGTGTCTATTGCTATTTCTTCGAAATGCTCCATGAATATATTGTGTTTTTAATAGAAATTAGACTGTTTTTTAGAATAGACAAGATGATGGATAATGTCCAGCAAAATATTAATTGTAACAATTTACCATCATCACAAACTTTTAGATCTTATTCACTGTGCTACAGTTTAGAAGGTTTGCAGGTTCAATTCCTGATGAGTTCATTGGATTTTGCAATTGATCTAATCCCTCGAGCTGCACTGTGGCTGTGGGTCAACTCAGCCCCTAACAGAAATAGTTACCAGGAATCTTCCTGGGGTGTGAAGGGTGGCTGGCACATAGGGCTGACAATCTCACCGCCAACAATGAGGTGATTGTCTAGAACAGCGATGGCCAACTGGCGGCCCGCGGGCCAGATACGGCCCGCGACTTGATTTACTCCGGCCCCCTGCCAAGTCTCAGGTTTATTTTCAAAAATCTTAACTTCACAGCTGTATTGGCATAGAATTCAGTTTTTAATAGGACGTTTCATTAGCTTACAGCATTTTGCAATTGACTGTATACGTTCTTACTGAGTTGGACAGTTCAAACGGTTTTCTAATAACTGTGTTCATGTCATGGAAATTCAAAGTTCCCCAACCCTACTTCTGTAGGGAGATGACACTGAAGGGAAGACCGTAGTGGTGAAGGATTTATGACACCTTCAAAATAATAACCATTCCCAGCTTGCTCGCGGCGATGGGATGTTTACCGTTTCTCTCGGCATCCTGGCCTTTGTTAAGTGCCAGTTTTAGCAGAAATGTCTCCCAGTTAGTGCGATTTTAGAAAGTGAAGTGTGATTACGGAGTGTGAGTGTAGAACTGTTTTTAAATTAAAATTGTGTTTGAAGTTATTGTGAGTGATACAGCATGTCAAATAGTAAATTGAGAAAAGTTGATAGCGAAAATAGGGCGTTCAAATCTGAGTGGGAACATGACTATTTTTTTATATTAAATAAAGACCACAAGCCACAGTGTTTAGTATGTTTTCAAGTGCTAGCAGTTTTAAAGGAGTACAACCTAAAGAGGCATTACATGACAAATCATAAACAGAAGTTCGGAAAACACTCTTGTGAATCAAGGAAAGTAGTCTGCGATCAGTTAAAGAAAAAACTTTTCCAGCAGAAATCTCTTTTTACCAATGAAACAAAACAACAAGAAGAAGCTTTGCTGGCTTCTTATTTCGTGACATATGAATTAATGAAAGCTAAAAAAGCGTTAAGTGATGGTGAATTAATTAAGAACTGTGCGATAAAGATGGCAGAAGCTTTCAATGAAAATAAGGTAGGAAACAAATTTCAAACAGTGCCCCTTTCAAAACAGACTGTTACTAGGAGGCTGGAAGATATTAGCAACCAGATATCTAATAATGTGAAAGACATTATCGCTAATTGTTCCTATTTCTCAATTGCTCTCGACGAAAGCACAGATGTTTCGGATACTAATCAGTTGCTGATATTTGTTCGTGCAATTAAGGAAGATTTTACAATTTTCGAAGAGTTGTTAAAAGTGTGCTCTTTACACAGCACAACTAGAGGTGTCGATATTTTTAACGCTGTTAAGAGTGCAGTGGAGGAATTCGGTGGTTTTGAAAAATTGTCCTCCATAGTAACAGATGGCGCTAAATCAATGACAGGGACAATAAGCGGTTTTGTTGGATTTTTAAGACAGAATCAAATTACTGTACCTACCTTGCATTGTATTATACATCAGGAGGCTCTATGTGCCAAATCAATTAAACTGTCTACCACCATGGCTACTGTCACAAAAATTACTAATTTGATCAGAGGAGGAAATCGATCACTCACTCACAGAAAATTTCTGACCCTCTTGGAAGAAATGGATTCTGCTTACGGGGACCTGCTTCTGCACACTGAAGTAAGATGGTTAAGCCGTGGGAAATGTCTGGTACGGTTCTTTGAACTCCGTCATGAAATAGCAACATTCCTAAGAGAAGAGGTTACGAATTCTGCTGAACTGCAGAATGATCTCGAAGACGTCGAATTCTTGAGAAACTTGGCCTTTCTCACTGATATCACTCAACACTTGAATGTCCTGAATCTGCAATTGCAAGGCAAGAAGCAGACAATATGTCAGATGGTTGGCTTTGTTGACAGTTTCCGTAAAAAGCTACATTTATTTAAGTCTGCATTGGACAAAAATAACCTTCTACATTTCCCTTGCTGTCGGAAACTCTCAGAAGAAGAAGAAGGCTTGGAGTTTAGGGACTACACTGAAATTATTGAAGATTTGTCTTCAGAGTTCGACCGACGATTTAACGATTTTGAAAGCTTTCGACCTGATATTTCTTTATTCAGTAATCCTATACATTGTGATATAGAATCTCAGCCAGGTCATCTGCAATTAGAGCTTTGTGAACTTCAATGTGACCCATCCTTAAACACATCTCAGGTTACTGGAATTGACTTTTGGAAACTGCTTTCACCAGAACGTTACCCACTGTTACGAAATTGGGCTCTCAAACTTTGCTCTGTTTTTGCAAGTACTTACATATGCGAGACAGCGTTTTCATCGCTGAAGCATGTAAAGTCTAAGAACAGGAACAGACTTTCAGATGTCGTGTTATCACATATTCTTCGAGTGGCAACCTCACAATTAGAAGTGGATTTTATATCATTGGTTTCCAGTTTTATGAAACCACAGTGCTCTCATTAAAACAGTGTGTATATGAGGATTTAGGTATAATCATTAGACCATAAAAACTATGATTGAAAGTCTTTTGTGCTCATCCCTGCTGAAAGAGGAATTTGTGCTGTTTTATGGTAAGTAATTGCACATTTCAAGGCATTTTATTTTTCTTTCTTAAATTATAATTGCATTTTCCCCCGGCATATATAAAACTAAACATAAGACATGATCTGGCCAGTGTTTCTTTAAGAAAAAATGCTCTGGGGGTAGAAGTGATAGAAGGCAATAAAATCGATTGGTGAAATTTTCAATATCGGCTTAATATTATTGGTGCAACATAAACTTTAAATACATAGGTTTAAATGCACTGTTTTTATACGGGTTGTGACTGATTCAGTTTGGGGGGCAATACTCCCCAACCACTCTTCTGAAAGAAACACCGTATCTGGCCCCTGATGGTGTTCTATAAACTAAATTTGGCCCTCGAGATGTATTAGGTTGGCCAACGCTGGTCTAGAAAATGTGGAAGCTTCGATGTCTCACAACCCTATGGGCCTCCATGGCCTAGAGGGATAGCTTTACTTTAGGAGCCAGGATAGCACAGTTGATATAATAACTGGCTACAGGCTGGACAACCAAGGAGAGTTCAAGTCTCAGTAGGGTCAAGAATTTTCCTTTCTCCACTTCGTCCAGACTGGCTCTGGGGCCCACCCAGCCTCCTGTCCTATGGGCACTGGTGGTAAAACAGCCAGGGCATGAAGTAGTAGTAGTGCCAAGGTCAAGATAACGTGGATCTATACATCCACTCACCTATATGTCTTCATGGCGTAATGCTTAATTAGTTAAAAGGACAATTTACTTTTTTTGCATGTACAATTTAGGTTATTTAAAAATCAAGTTTATGTCATTGTTTTATTGACTTATGCATGTGTAATAAAGTTTTCCCCACTTGTGGTTTCAGGTACTCAACTTGTAGCAAAGGGAAAGTATGTGATTAGTTCTTCACAGAACTTGTTATTTGTAACAGTAAGAATGCTCTCTGTATCAGATAATATATGTGTGGGGGGAGTAATATAGTGGTTGTACTACGAATTGTGCCACAGAGTTCGGAGTTGCTCGGTCTGTAGCAGCCCCAGAAAGTGTGAAAAGGATGACGCTTGTGATTGTAGTGTTTAGTATTGGATTTTTTTGTTTTCATACTCATACTTCACAGGTGTAAACACAGTCAGTATAGGAGTGCCTTCAAAGGACATGTGCTTGTTAGGTGATTAACATGTGCATGTGATGATGTTGAAGAAAAATGTGGTGATATTAAGAAGGAAGGATTAACAGCCCTCCACTTTGAAGAAAGTGACAGACACTTTTAAGTGGTGCTGTATGCTACATTCTGATAAGTAAGATGTGCTTCAGTTTGTGGGAGAACAGCATGCGCTAAATAAAGGTGGTGCTCACAATATTTCCAAAAGTTCACAGCCTCTCCTTTTGTTTTTGATGTATTTTTACACAATTTACCAGTCACTGTACAAGATGTCCAGTACCTTGCAGTATGAAATTATTGGCCATGGCTGGATGTGTTTTTCTACTACTGGTGAGATAATATATCTTAGATAATTGCATTCATTTTGCCCACTTAGTTCATTGGCTTGTTTCAGAGAACATAAGCGTGACAGTGGCCCACAGGATGAATTAGGTCGTATGCCAAAATACCGGGAACAGGAGACTCCCGTAAGTAGTTCTTTATAGTTTTGTTTCTTCTTGAGACAGGATTCCTTCCTCGTGGTTATGAACAAAGTAGGAAATGTATGCACAGTGTAACAGTTCTGGTGTGTGTGCTGTACTGTTGACTCTAGATTTTCAGTTAACTTTTAAGGTTCAATTTAAATGGTATGAAACATGCAGGATGGACAAGCAAGGACCTCCAGTAAAAGATCAGTCCTGTTGTTCATCATTCAGGAGATGGGAACATTATAAAAATCCCTTTGTGTAGTTATCTTGGAAACTATCTTATGGAAAATTGTGTTTTGGGCATGTCTAGACAATGTTTCCAGCAGATTGCTGTTGCTGTTTGAGAGGCAACATGTTTTGGCATATGTATGCCATCTTCAGGTTCTGTTCATAGTTACAGTTGATGTATTATGTACATAGCCTAGATTTACATGTAAGTAAAATGGAGCCACCAGTATGCTATACATTGTATAATACTGTCACGTGTTGGGTGTATAAAGCGACAAATAACTTCACGCCATTCTGGATCTTGCGAATTTATTGTACATTTGCTCTTACACTTACACAATTTACAATCTCACAATTACTGCCATCAGCAGTATCACAATTACTTATCCTGTAGTCACTGCCATGCGCTTGATACACCTTGACTCTGGCGGCTGCTACATCTTAACTCGTAGCTGCTGGACTTCACGATCCACACTCTGTCGCTCTTGATCACAGACTCTGGTCACATACTGCTCCCTGTTGCCTTGCGTTACCAGCGTTGTCCCCTGTCACGTCACCTTGGGGGAAGGGGGCGGAGTGTTGACTGGCCTGTTACGTCACCGTGGTGGAGAGGGGCGGAGAGTTGACTGCCCTGTTACCATAGCAGTGGCAGTGCTGTTATGTCACCGCTGGCAGAGAAGGGGGTGCCCTGCATAGCGCAAATATGTCACAATACTATAATAGGCTAGCTTGTATATTGGAGAGGTTGCTGCCTTCTTTGTACTAGTTTCTTGCGTTGCTTACTTTGGAGGGGACATGTTCCTCTGAAACACTGGTTGGCTTTCAGTGGAGTACACAGCATTATGTTCCAGAGGGTAGAACTCTTCAAAAGTATTCTGTTCCGTAATATCCATAAAAGATGTCAGTAAACCAAATATTGGAAAGGATGATGATTGAGTGATCAATCAATACATCTGTTCCACACAACTTGAAACAGAAGATAGAGTCTTAGTTAGTTAGTTAGTTAGTTAGTTAGTTATTGGAGAGGGTGGGTTTCCCCATGCACTGAGACCTGTATTGGTCCATCGTGCTTCCCTCTATGATATTCTACCAGTCTCTGTATCCTACCGGTACTGGTGCTTACCATCAGTCCCGCCCAGCCAGCGAGACCAGCTCTACTAGCTGAGAGGTATCTATAATGCTTCCCCCATCTACCAGAGGTATTAGAGACTGCTGTTGGGTGGGAAACGTCCATAATTTGGCTCAGTGACCTCCTTTGGAGATATGAGGTTCTTTTACGTGCCGTAAAGCTACGACACAGAAGCCATGGCTTAAAGTCCCTCCTGGAGGACTTGTTCCCTGAATTTTTCCGCCCTTAAAAATTCGACGACCTCCGCCGGGTTTGAACCCGCGTACCACGAGTCATGAGGTGGGAATGTTACCTCTAGACTACGGAGGGCGCTTTTATTTTTATGTAACTTCTTCAGTTTGCTTAAGGTATATTTGAATGTAAACTCTTTCCTTTCATTGTGTTTGTATCATTTTGAACAAACAATTCCAGATATGTCAGGATTTTTATGTTGCATGCTTCTGTCATTTTTCAGAATTTTGCGGGCTCAAACAAGTTTGCATATCTTCCAGACGAAGATGACCAGTTCCCTGAAACAGAGTAAGGAGAAGCTTAAAACACTCCAGCCAGTTGGTGAGGTATATCAGGACTGGAGATTTCGTTGCTGTAAATCAAACATGTTATTGTTATGTCATTACACCCTTGGTCTTGCATAATATAGTGTTATATGCCCACAGTTGAGATTGTGATACTGACCACTGTCCGGTGCTAAGAAGATTTCTGTCTGCTGCCATGTGATAGTGTATAGTCTGGTATGTGTTTACTCATGTTTTAGAGGAATATAGTGGCACTATTTTTAGGGTGGACAAGTAAACTGATTATGGAAAAATGTGCTATTCCCTTTCGTTATATGAGGCCACATTTTTTTTTCTTTTTTTTTTAGTTCAGCATACTCTACTGCCCTCTGGATGGTGGCAGTACATTGCTCCAAAATGTTGGTAAGCATCTACCAGACAACATGGCATCTCATCCAGCGAGACAATATCTGAGAACCTCATATCCTTTGCTACAAATCAAGTTTAGTGAAGAGCAGAGAGTCTCTTATGATTCTTAAGTTCCTATTTACAGGCTTCTTTCCAGGTATCTTGAAAAGTCCTGGAGTTCTGGAGAACGACTGTTTTTTATTGACAAACACCAGGATTTCTTGGGTGCCTGGGAAGAATTTGTGCAGGGCTTTCCCCCCTCCCTCACCCCATTACTGGTAAGCATATTTTTATGGGGAAAGAAAAGGCACTGGAGACTTGTAAATAGTCACAAAGAAACATTTTCCTACCACAATTCTTGGCCCTTGTTTGAAGATGTCTTTCTTCATGGTTTCTTTTATCGCAGAAGTTTCTGTTATCTTGCATAGCCAGAGTTGGGTCATTTTTGTAAAATTTTATAGCAATTTCTTACTGCAAGGGAGAAGTTGTAAGATATGGCATCCCCACATTTATAGAGCTTCCTTTAAAACAGGTGTACACAAATTGCTTGTCATGTGATGCATTTTTGTTCAGTGCACTGTAGTATGATCATAAGGGGGAGGGAAGTTAACATAAGCTTTGTGTCCCTTCTACAGTTTAATTCCCTTTCTCTTCATGGAAATACTTATCAGTGATGAATGCTGTTTGACTTAGGAAACATTTCATATTTAGGTCTTCTGCATCATGATTCGATGCAGTCACAAGTAGGTACCAACATTTCAGAGGAACATGCAGCCTCCATCTTCAGGGCAGAAGTGCAGCACTGTTACCTGCCTACCAGACAAAGTGTATCATAACCCAGGAGTCCACTATATGAATGGTCATCACTGTGATAACCTGTTTAGAAAATGAGATCAGTTGAAGAACTATGAAGCGTTTTGTGGAAACTTATATTGTTCCCTTCTATTTGCAGAAACAAAGATGAAATTTTTGATATCATCCAATATTCACAAAGAATTAGTTGGAAATGAATAAATAGTCTGCCAAAAGGACTGATTCTGTAGTTTATAATAGGAATTAATTTTCTCAGAAATTTTAGATCCTTATGTNTTTATTGGCTTTTGAGGCTTGGGAGGGGTGTGTACAGCAGATTTTAACATTCATGCTTGAAGACACTGACAGTGTATTTTTTTGGGTTCCTGAATTGGGCCTTTTCCTTCTGGATTTTGGTTGCTGTTTTCATATTGTGATCTAAGTTGTGACACCACATGGTATTGTAGCTTTGAGCAGGCTGTAGTACCTTTCCCCTTACATGGAACTGAGTACCTCACTTACACCCATATAAATTGACAGCATCCTCACCCTAGTCAGTTCAGCCATGAAGATGGAGGCAGTATGTTTCTCTGAAACATAGATGTCCACCTACAGTACTTCGTGGTGTCAAAACCAGAAGATCATAATGTGAACACTCGACTGCTGTGCCAACCTGAAAACTAATGTAATCTTTATTTAGTAGCATAGAAAAGCAGCTGCAGTTTTTTTGTGGTGTATGCAATTTCTGCAGTAAAGCAGTTGGGCCATTAAGATGTGTCAGCAGCTGCCTCTCATTACAAAACGCTCATCGCCTTTTGCACTGGAGCTGAGCTGCTTTATAATGGTATAAAAATTGTTATGAAGAGAAGAAGCCTGACAACCATGCTGAAAGACCGCAAAAGTACCAGGCTTCTGGAGAGAGGAATTTCCACAAGTATGTGTCATTATTGTTGAATTTGATCATGAAGACTGATAGCCCTTTTGGACCCACTTATATGTAGCACATTTTACTGTAATAGTGTTAAAATGATGACAGTGAATGAAGTGAAGTGTATTTGGTATGCACCACATAATATAAGACTGTTACGTTACCAAGACGATAAATCTTGTGTAAAAGTAATTCCTGTATACAGAAGTAAAATGATTGTAGTATCATCGGCCTATCATCACAAAATAGTGTTGCTATCATTAACTTGGTTTGCCATGAAGATACAGTGGACTAAGAAACAAATTTATGAACACGACAGCATTCGTGTAGTAACGTAAGCATGAAGATTAACGAAAGTTTTCTGATAATATATCAAGATGTCAGTATTTAACTGTATGATACAGTTTCAATTACCTGAATATTCAGTAAATGCTATTAACGAAGGCATTGAGAGTGATTACAGGCGCACCTGAAGAGTACTATCATCTGAGATATAACACTGTGTAGTTCAGTAGTTTCACCAATGTAAGCAGATGGCAAGCCTGCTTCTTGCTGGCTGCTTGGTTAGTTTTACTCCTTGACCGTAAATATGGAGGTGACATGTTGGTGGAATTGTACCAGACTATGCTGCATTATCACAGAAGATTACTCTTCATAGTCACTGCTGTGAGAACCTCATATCCAGCACAAGTACACACGTGTTGGTGTTTTCTTTATGATACAGTAATGATGTTAATAACTGCTTTTTGTGTGTGCCATGTTCACAGAATTGGTGCTGTGTAGACTAAAGTCTGACATGTATGAAGGAAAGATACCTTTAGATACCAGAACTGTCAAATGTTACTTCAGAAACATGAAAGTAAATGATAATACAGTGTTATGTCCATGTTTTGCTCGAGTCAGTAGACCATGTAATGAACACACGGACCAGTGTCAGAAGATTCTTAAGTGTACAGAGTATGTGTACCAAATGTGTTTGTACAGCCTTTTTTCTTCTTGAGTTTATTCATAGTTAAACCCTTCTTATAAGAGTATGCCTAGAAGAGGTGGAAATAAACCATTGGGGTCTAAAATGTGTATGTTCTGTTTTTCCATGGCTATTATTCCTTTGTACCAATAAGGTATGGTGAATATAGCCGGTTTCACCAAACCTTTTTTCCTTTTAATGTTCCTGAAATCAGTGGGTCATTAACCTAGTTTGTGTTTCACTTGAGGCTAATGCACTATTGAGATGCCTGTTTTACTGCTTTGTTCTTAAATGTGTACTAGTAATGACCATGCCCTTGTGTATGGAAACAGCCATCAGTCTCTAGCCATGAGCTGGGCATATCTCAAGTTGTAACTTGAAACAGAGACATTCACGATGAAATGTCACGTGTAGGTCATCAATTAATGACCCCATCACCCGTCCTGTGAACTCATTCCAGCTGGTGCAGAGTACATTACTTTTTTATATATAAAGAATGTAAATTTGCTACTCAGTAAACATTATTGATACAGATGATGTTTGACAATTTAAGTTAGAATATTTGAAAACTGCTGGACCTGAGAATTTGGATAATCACGATTGATGATGCTGTCTTGTTTAACCCTTTCATGATCATGCTGTAAATACATGTGCTTTGACTAGGCCTCCAGACAGGTATCTGTGCTGTTTTAAAATTTCCTTCATGTCCCCCATATATAGTAAAAATCCAAAGCCATTTCCATCTCTTGATTGTGTGGCACAGGCGCATAACTATCAAAGCTATTGTTCATCGGGTCCACATGCAGAACAAATGCAGCAGTACAGTCTGGATGATCAAAGTGGCCACTGATTACTGAAGTTTATCTCAAGCCCAGTAATTTGATTTCCAAAATCCAGGGGTCATCATGGACAGGGTAAATTCCCAGCCTTCTCAATGGATTGTTGTGTGAGGGCAGGTAACAACTGTCAGTTCTAACAGATTAAATAGTTTGTCAGCTTCCATACCTGGCATTCTGTCCTCTTTGTCAGCATACAAGTATACAAGTATAAGAATAATAAGGGAGTAGCTTTAACCCAGATTACTAAGTTTATACAAAGGAACTATGGTATTAATATTATAATTTTAGATATTCCTCAGAGATATGATCTTTCATCTTTTTCATGTGTGAATTCTGAAATTGAAGAATTTAATAGAAAAATCTAGAAAACTGCTACTTTATACAACCGTGTCTCACTCTTAGAAACAGATCTAAAGAGAGAATATTTCATGAAGCATGGCCTTCATAGATAATGCTTTGTTGCATAACACAGATAGCTGTAATGAAGAGATGGTAACTTTATCTGGTAATGTAAATGTAAGTATGGATAGTGAGAACATAAGAAATAATGAACAAAGGAAACTGGTATATATGAAATTAATCTGCACAGAACCTCTGTTAGGCAGAGAAAGGTAATGGTAATGGTATCTGGTAATGTAAATGTAAGTATGGATAGTGAGAACATAAGAAATAATGAACAAAGGAAACTGGTATATATGAAATTAATCTGCACAGAACCTCTGTTAGGCAGAGAAAGGTACCTGTGACTAGAAGGGAGGATTTTCTATGGTAAATCCCTCACCAGATGTAATTGGTAATGATTTTAATATTTCCAGGGAAGATGAGGGTGAGGGAAACTCAACAGGAGGATTAAACAACATCTCAAACTCAACAGATAGTACTGCTAAGCATAAACTGGTTGATGAGCATAAATCATATAATTATCTTAGTAATAATAATAATCATTTTATACATCAGACATCTACTAACACTTTAAGAGTTTTTCATCAGAATATTAGAGGTTTAAAATACAAGACTGATGAGTTAATAGGTGCTTTATGCCCTGATTTTCCACACATTTTATGTTTAATAGAACACCATATGAATTCTTTAGAAAGGAACAATATTACTATTGATCATTACAACCTTGGTGCTGTGTACTGTAGGAAAATTCTAAGCAAAGGTGGTGTATGTATTTTTGTGCATAACTCTATAAATTATTCAAATATTAATTTGGATAGATTATAGACCAAATTATTGAAATATGTGCTGTTAAACTCCAATCAGCCAGGCAAAGTATTTGTATACTACCTGTCTATGGAGTGCCATCTGGGAATTTTTTACAATTTTTAAGTAGTCTAGATAGAGTTTAAATACTGTTTATAGCGCTGGTGTTGAATTAATTGTATGTGGTGACAAATATAAACTACCTACAGGACAGCCCTAGGGAAAAAATAGCTTAATTCATTGTTATTGTCTTTTAATCTTTTCCCCATAATTTATTTCCCAGCTAAAAGTCAGAATAATTCTGTTTCATTAATTGATAATATATTTATTGATACTTTCAGTTTGGAAAGTATTTGGTCTTTTCTATTAATACTGGTCTATCTGATCATGATGCACAACTCCTTATTGTTAGAAATATCTGGTTGCAAATTATAAACATAAAAATTCAACCATTTCACTATAAGAGTTTTTGATGATCAGCCTTTGCTTAATTTTAAAATGTAATTAAGCTATGAAATGTGGGATGATGTATTTAGTGGTAATGATGTTGATACCATCTTCAACTCCTTTTTAAATACATATTTGAGAATTTTTCATTCCAGTTTTCCATTAAAAAGAATAATAACTAGTTCTAAGACAAAAGTCAATAATTGGATAACACTAGGTATAAAAATTTCTTGTCGACGTAAGTGGGAACTCTACTTGTTGTATAGGAATAATAATGATGCAAATTTTAAAAACTATTATAAATTGTATTGCAGAACTATATCTAATGTTATTAACGCAGCTAAAAGACTTCATTATGATAGATTAATTGTTAATTCGGAGAATAAAATGAAAACTACTTGGAATATTGTTAAATCTGTAACAGGTAAAAGGTCAGGGAATAAATTGTTTGAGTCAGTTTATATAAATGGTACTTTAACTGATAATCAACAGCTTATAGCTGATTCCTTTCAAAACTACTTTCTGTTAATAGTATTATATTCTATTCTGTTAATCGCTCCTTTGAATTATATTTGTAATAGGTCAAATTTATCTGTTTCATTCCCTACACGATTAAAATATTTTGTGGTTGAGCCATTATTTAAAAAAGGCGACAATAAAGATATAAAAAATTAGACCTATATCATTACTAACTTCATTTTATAAAATTTTTGAAAAGACGATACATTTTCTAAACATGTAATAAATAAAGCTATATTATCTAGTGAACAGGTTAGGTTTAGAAGCATTTCCTCAACAGGAAAGGCCTTAAATAATAAGGAACTTGTGGGAGGTATTCTTTGTGACCTCGAGAAAGCCTTATTAATGGAGAAACTGAAATTCTATGGAATTGTAAGCAATACATATGCT